TTTCTCTTAGTTTTGATTTTAGCTCGTTACTTAGTTGGTTGTATCTTGTTTTGCTATTTGGGGTGTGAGTTCTCTGCCAGATTGATCGTGCTCTTCTCTTTTGTGCTATTAGCTTTTTTATTTTGCAGGAGATGTGATGGGACTCGTTTTTCATTTTAATTCGCGGGGTAGCCTCTCTTGCAGCTTGTTGGATGAGATTGATAAAGTCTCGAGTTTCCCTTTCTATGTTGTCTGGGGATTGCAGCCTGACTGCTAGTTTAGTGTTATCCTGGATTATTTGTCGGTAAGCATCCCAGTTGGTTTTCGGGTTGTGTAGCCTTGGTAAGGGGTTTTTGTTTAATATGGTTGTGCCAATTATTGCAATTATGGGGCTGTGGTCAGAGCTTAGGTCGTAGCTAGGTGTTATGTCTGTATATGGTGTGGAAATTCCGTTGATTACAAAGAAGTCCAATAGGTCTGGAATTTTATTGGCATCTGTGGGCCAGTATGTTGGCGAACCAGTTGATAGAACCGAGTATTTGTTTTCTTGAATTACTTGTGCAAGTTCCCTTCCTTTGGTGGTAATTAAGTGTGATCCCCATAGCGTGTGTTTGGAGTTGTAATCTCCTCCTGCTATGAACTTAGGTCCTAGGGTTGCAAAGTAAGTTTTAAATTGGTCTTTCTTTATGTTGTGTCGTGGTGGACAATATACTGCTGACGCCGTTATTTTGTATTGTAAACAGCTTACTTTTATTGATGTGGCTTGGATAAAGTTTTCTTCGTGTTTTAGTAGTTCGTAATGTTTTATATTGTCCTTGATGAGTATTGCTGATCCTCCATGAGCTGTTCCATCTGGGTGGTTAGTGTAGTATAGCTTATACCTCGGGATGTTGAAGTACGTTCTGTTGGTGAAGTGAGTTTCGCTGATGAGGAGTACGTCAATTCGGTTTTGTGTTAGGAATAAATTTACTTCATCTTTGTGGCTTGGGAGACCATTGGCATTCCATTGTGCTATCCGTAGGAACTTGGCCGTTTTTTTTTTAGTTAATTTTGGTCTAGAAGATGTGGGAGCCTCAACCTCTCACAACCCTAAGGGCCTCCACAGCCTCTTACAGGGACAACTTTACCTTTTACCTATATTTACCTTACCATATTCATACTTATCTCTTTATATGCTATGTAAGATTACATAAGTATTATATTTTATATATATTAAATATTTCATAAAATCTTGTAAATTGTAGAGGCTTCATAACCCATATAAAACAAATTCTATAAATTAGTAAGTAGAGGAAGTTCATTTAAAAGCCTACTGTATGCTATTTGGTCAGTGCAGCAGAAGGACATCACACGTTAAGCTTCACCGCACACATTGAGACTTGTACCATTCTCAGCAGGCCAGTAGCTTGTACATGTCACAATTTCTCTTCAGTATAAAGGTAAAGCTAAAGTCCCTGTGCTTAACTAATTAAGCACTTCGTCATGCAGATGTGGAGGATGGATATATAGACCCACGCTTTCTTGATCTCAGCACTAGTTGGAGGAGAGTTTCTCTTCAGTATTGCCCCAAAAAACTGTTGAACATCTAACATGGAGGGACCTTAGGCTATATATGCCTGTCAACCATAGTTCTAAGCCTTTGTTGCTGTATTAAACATGAAGTTAGCTGCATTATATCTTGTATTGAAATGCTGTGTGACTTTTACGTATCAAAATGTTTGTTCAAGTAAGATACCCATGTGAATAGCAAGGAGAAGATTCTGACGTAAAGTTCATGATGATATTCCAATTAGAGGAAAAACACAGTCATAAATAAACTTAAATTTGCAGGGTAATTACGGGACAAGAAAAAAGGCAGTGCTCAAAGAAGTGAAATAGGATGTTGGTGCTGGGCTTGAACATTTTTTTCAGAATTTCCTTAGACACCAAGCACAGGAGATGGGGGGTGGGGTGGAAGATTCACTTTTCAAGTTTGAAGATTGTTATGTTTCCAAAAAGGTTCAGTGTGACTGGTGGAGTTTTTCTTATTTCAATTCTGCATGCCCTTACATGTTTCAGTCCTTAGAGACCATCATCAGAGGGCATCGATACTCTTTGGAAACCACTATTACAATGGGTGTTCTGAATGTTAAAATATATATACGTACAATGCTGACAGTACACAAGTGGATACAAAATCCAAGGTTTACATAACTACAGTGGTTGTCTTGATATATTAATTTTTTTTTTAACTTGTGTTATTTAAGTTAGAATTTATTAACCAAATAGGTTTGTGTCCTCTCTCTTATCACCTGTATGTGTCTGTGCTTTAAAAAGCCAATATTAAATTCACTTTGGTTATCTTTATCTTCACAAATATGCTCCTTGTGCATATCCAGATATGATTCTGATTTGTAATGTACTGCCTCATTGACCATCGTGAGATTTGTGGCATTCCTGCATATCAGTTTATGAATGCCTGCACTACTGAATTCAGGTGATTTTTGGTAATAGTAAGAAGTTTCTGTTGTCCATCTCGAATGCAGTTCGTGAAAAGTAAAGGTATCCCTGTAACAGGCCATGGAGGCCTGTAGGGTTGTGAGATGTGTAGGTTCCCACATTTTCTATACAGTTGGCTCATAGATGGCGGCAAGGTTGTCAGCCCTACGCGCCAGCTGCCCTTTACCCCCAAGAACATTCCAAGAATATTCCTGGTACTCATTTCTGTTAGAGGCTGACAATTTCCCAGGGCCATACTGCAGCTGGAAGGATTAGGTCAATTGAAGAAAGAAAATGACCTCATAGGGACTTGAACCCGTGACCTTCTGGCTTGTAGCATAGTGCCTCAATCAAAAATGGTACCGCGTGCCCCCTTTTTGGACTTGTTGAAGGCAAAATTCAGATCAGCTATGCATGTGCCAACATGTCAGAATGTTTGTTACTGGGATTACCCATTAATAAGTCAATTCTGAATATTATTATTTATTTATTTGTTCATATCAGTAGAATTCAGTTAATTGCCATAGCTTATCAGACTTTATAGACTAATTTTTTAGTGTTGGTGAGGATTTTATTGGAACTTTAGCAACTATGTAGTGTGTTTATTGTAGAGCTGCACACAGACCATGAAGCTACCCAGGCATAGGTAGGGTGTTCCCCTATGTAATCAAGACATAGATATTTGTACTGCTAGCATAATTGACAAATATATTGCCTAACACATTACAAATAAAAGTCAACCAGATTACAGTAAATACTGGAAATGCTGTTTGTTATTCATGCATTTGTGACGCCTCCATAATACGTGTTTACATTCATGCACTGAAATTCTTTTTTGCAAAGAGAGTAAATTTTATAACTTTAACTCTGGTCCCCTGTGCAGAGTGTCTGAGGAATTTTTGAGGAGAATATTCAATTCTAGCACAGATCTCATTTGATTATTCTTCAGTAAGCAATTGACATTTCGGTTTTTGGTTATATGTTCCATTAACAAAATGGGTGCTAGGCTTGAAAATTCTCCTGACAGCAACAACAGAGAGCATTTTCAGCATCTCATGTGGTCTGGATAAGTATTTGTAATATGTTACACAACAGGTTTATTGATTGTGCTGAGTCTGTACTTGAGTAGCTCAGAAATGTACTGGATGCTCAAAGATGACCACACTGTAGTTACTAAACCATACAGTTTTGTTTTATAATTGAGCTATTTCAAGGAAATAGCGGCTCTGGTCTAGAAACCCAAGATTAACAGCCATGGGGATTTGTTGCATTAACCATGTGACACACACTGTCCACTAAAGTTGGCACTAACTTTGCCAACAAGCGGCGGTTGCTCAGTCAGAATAGTTCACTTGCAGACTAAAACCACAGAGTTTTTTTTTACAATTTGTTTTATATAGGATATGAGTCTGCCATAAAGGTAAAGCTATCCCTCTAATGGGCCATGATGTGTGTACAATTGTGGGCCTCATCTGAGGCTATACATAAGTAATTTATTGTGTTTGATGATAGGGACATTTATGATTTTTTAATAATACAATGATATTGCTTCCAGTTTTAGTATAAATTGGAACTGCTTGTAGTACAGCTGTGCTACAGCCTCTGGGGAAAATGAACACAGATCTCCCCACTATCTCATAGCAGTTGTCTCTCGTCTGCTTGCCTTCCACCATTCTCACCAGTTCTCATGTACATTTTCACTTGCTGTATATACTTCTTTAGTTTGTGATTTGTGTTGATGGAGGGGGTGTGTCCAATTTAAATAGTCTGTGGGCACCCCCTTGTGTTTATTCTTTTTCTTATCCAAGCCTGGTAACATTAATTAACACACACCTTCATTGGCAGTTTAGGAGACTGAATAGGTATGGTTGATTCATTAAGGCATAGGCCATACCAGTCCTTACACTGCAGCCATCCTCAGTCTTTGTGTATCCATCTTCTTGGTTAGCACCATGTCAGTCCAGGATGTTCGATTAGGTGTGTTATGTTCTTCAGTGGGGCATTTAAGTAGGCACTTGGTTTCATGAAATAAAGTCCCAAGAGATGAAATCTTCAGTTAACTTAAGAGCCTCACAGTCAAATAGGGTATGTGAGACTGCTTTCTCTGTGCTGGCACCTTTTGCAGGTGGGGCTTTAATCCTATTTGAAAAGATGCCCTCTCAGGTGACAGTACTTTGTAAGTAGGCCTGTCACAGAACTCAGCTGGTCTGTAATTAATTCTAATAGTTCTCTAGTCCTTTTTGCAGAGGGTCATTGAAGCCCCAGGAGACAACCAGTCACTGAAACTCAGGTGGATGGAGTGGCTTTCATTCCCAGTCCATTCAGATCAACCCGACATGTTATGAGGCAGTTAAACATGCTATACACAGCACTGCACAGAGTTCTGCTTAAACATATGAACTTGAAAATCTGTAGGTACCGGCACTTTCAGCATGTTACTGTCAAAGATAGAGAGGTTCACATTTTGCTGTGACTTTCTTTCGAACCTTGAAGATGATGAATAAACAAAAATTTGTCTTCTCTGATGGAACTGCATTCCATTTATCAGGAAATATTGACATCACCTGAAAATTTGGTGGTTCAAGAATCAATAGTTGAACATATGAGAGACAGTCCAAAGTTGTATTTATTTTGTGCTTTATCCAAACAAAATAGTGTTCAGGCCTTTTTTTCTTTTGCATACATCCTGTGACTTGCGTAGTTTACCTAGATTTGTTGGAGGCATTCCTCATGTCCGTTTTGGAAGAAGAGGGTCCCAGTGACATGCTGTTACAATAAGGTAGAGTGCCTCCACATTTCCGCAAGAAAGTGACTGGTTTCTTAAACCACAAGTTTCCAGAGAAATGGTTGGGCAGTGGTGATCCTATCACTTGACCACCTCATTTAGCTGATCTTGTTCCCCTTGATTTTTCTTTTGGGGATCATAAAGGATGCTGAACTTGTTACCAGTGGCTACAGTTACCCTTGAATTTCTTAAGAACATGTGGACTGAAATTAATACAATTACAATATCTGCTGGGCCACTCTAATTAAACATCATTAAAATGGAGGTCGTAAAAACTTGGATCATGTCCTCTGCTGAACACTTTGCATGGTAGTTTCAAATATACTACAGAGTAATCACAGCTGAACTTTCATGGTGCACTTACAGCCCTCATTGGAACTTCAATCCTAAAGAACTGAGTTCTCAACATTTCGTTTCAAAATTTTCTGATACAGTTTTGCGCAGTGTTAGGTCATCAGCTTTCCATATAAATAATGAAATCATCACAGCAATTAATGTTAGTTTTAGAAGTCATTAAATTGCACCAGGCCTCATATATACATGGACTATTGAAGCTGCCTTTTCCTTAATTTTTCAAATTCAGGAGCTTCACATATTTTCCTTTTCTTAAAAATTTGTCTTAAAAGTGGGACCTTTAACAGTATGACACTGGGACTTTGTGAAATCAGAATTTTTCTGAGAAAATAGGACATATGAGAGCCCTGTCCAAAAATCAGATTTGTGTAATTTACATTGGATGTTAGGTCATACTGCTGTGTGACAGCTGCAGTTACTTCAGATCACAAAGAAAGATGGTGGTTCTAGCTGCAAGATTAGTAGCAGTTATTAAATTGGTAAAATGGTTTGTTATTTCAGGTTCAGCAGCCAGAAGTAGTTTATGTTCATAGTGATGCAGAGGAGTTTGGGGGACATTACTGGACTGTTCTTCAAACACTGTCATTTCCAAACACCTCTCTGGTATTATCATACCGTCCGAGACCTACTCATGTATTTGGACAGCCGTTGAGTTCGATATACCATGCATCTGATGTGGCAAGAATTCAAGTGCTGATGGAATGTGGTGGAATCTACATTGATGCAGACACATTAGTTCTGCGCTCGTTAAACCGTTTCCGTCACTTTGAAATGGCTGTTGGCTGGCCATGGGGAGAATACATGGGTACTCAGGTAAAGTAATTTACAAAAATATTCAGTCATTGGGGATCGAATACCTGAGTTTGCTAAAAGTTTAGAGTAGGGTGTTAACTATGTTAAATGACCACTACTTATATTGATGAATGTAGCAACATCCATAAATATAACAAGTTGAATTGTACAATATTAATATGAACTGAACTAACCTAACATTATCAGTGACAGCGTTGTACATGGAGTGACACTTCAGTTCTATTCTCTACCCTGAATTTATTTTTGAACACGTAAGAATGCCACCAAAAGAAAATTAGCACTGTTATATTTTAGCGTCCTGTTGCACTGATTTATGTTCATGATTTATTCTGACCGTCTTACAGTGCATACATTTATTCATCTTACTCGTGTAAGGTGTGACTCGCGTATTGAGATACGACATAAGGATGACAAATCCTGAACAGTTTTAATATTTTTAATATTTAAAATTTATCAATATATATGACGAATATATATTTTAGTTATTTTAGAATAAAGACAACAGGGCATGAAATGAAGTAGTCTGACGTACATCAAAAAGCACCTGAAGATGGCACTTTTGTGCTGAAACATGTAGTGCAAGAGAGAAGAGTAAGATGAATAAATGTATGCACTGTAAGACGGTCAGAATAAATCATGAAAATTAGCACATTATTATAAAGAAATAACTTTCATATATGAAGATAAGGTTTCTCTCAGATCTGACGAGTTGCGGAAGATCCTTTGCTCAGTGGTTTATAGCTCTCTGCTTGCAAGAGTTGAAGCACCTTTGTGTTGTTATGACATGTATGGGAACAGATGTGTGCTGAACCGTATGTTTTGAAACTGTATACAACAGCCTCTTAGTGTCGATGGGTTGAGTCATGAAAGAAACTAGGCATGAGTCACAAAATAAGTAGTTTTCAGCAGTATCTGGACATCAGATTGCTTTGACATTTTATTCAGTTTTATCTTATAGCCTAAGAAATCATTATTGTGGAAGTATGAAGGGGAGGTGGGATGAAACAAAATTAGAAAGGGTGCGCTCCATAATGTACTAAAACACAAGTACCAATACAGTACAATCTCAATAATCTGGCCGTGCACTAGTCCGACATGTCCAGTAATCCAGCATCAGGTGCAGACAGACATCTACCGCCTTGTGCAGGTTTCTACAGGCAGCAGAGGCTGACTTGTGTTCAGTTGAGCTTGGCAGACTAATTTATTTAGACCCTCAATAGTATACAGTGTTTCAGTTCTTCTATACCATACGTACAGTCCTTTTCATGCAGTGGTAGCTCTGATGTTTACTGAAGATGTCCAGTTCTGACAAATCATAAAACTTTTAAGCGCTAAAACAGAAATAATTAAGGAACTTGACAAAGGTGAAATACTTATTAATGTGCCTTAAGAGTATGGTGTTGGATATATGATATCAGAGAAAAATATAAGATTGAGTGTTTTGTGAAAAATACCAACAGCAGCCCCAATGACAGGCAGACTCTAATATCTGGGGAGTACCTTGAAGTTGAAGATGCTCCGTACACTTGGTTCTTACAAAAATGTAATAGACACACTCCTGTTCTGGGGAAATTACTCAAGAGAAGGCAAAATATTTTTACAAAATGATGATGAAAACAGATGATTTAAGAGCAAGCAATGGATGAAGAAAGCAGTCTTCTGGGATTTGGCACTGTGTATATGTGGTGTTAACCGACGTTTCGGAGGAACGTATCGCCTCCATCTTCAGGGTAGAAGGAAAAATATAAGAAATGCGCAGTCTGCTTTTACCGGTTCTCACGGTCTCTTCGCTTGTGTATTTCTTATAGTTTTTCTTCTACCCTGAAGATGGAGGCAATACGTTCCTCTGAAACGTCAGTTAACACCACATATACACGGTGCCAAATCCCAGAAGACTGCTTTCTTCATAGTCACCGCTGTGAAAGCCTCAAATCTTACAAATCTTACAAGCAATGGATGGTTCGATAAATTTAAAAAGCAATTTGGAAATCCATTTTCTAACCATAATGGGAGAGGAGTTACCTTGTGGCATTTCAACTGTTGATCCTTTTGTGAGAAAATTCCAAAAAAAAAATTGAAGAACTAGGTCTTGGGCCAGAGCATGTGTATAATGCAGAAGAAAGCACTTTATTTTTGAGGCTCTTGCCTACAGAAACTTTTGTCCACTTAGTTCAAGAAAATGCAGCCAAGCCCAAAATGTCCAAAAACCGAATTATGTTCATGCCTTGTTCAAATGCAAATGTCACCCACAGACTTGAAATGCTGGTGATCGGTAAGACAGCAAAGCCCAGAGAACTTAAAAACTAAAGTCTTTGGTCATATACAAAAGCCAAAGCTGTGGTTGGGTAACACTGGAAGTGTTTACTGAATGGTTCAATAAAAGTTCTGAGTCATCAGTAAAAGCATTTCTTAAAAAGCAAAATTTACCAGCTAAAACGTTATTAATTTTAGGTAATGCTCCTGGACACCCAAGTGAAGAACACTTAAAATCAAGAGATGGTTTAATAAAGGTATGTTCATACCGCCAAACTGCACCCCACTTCTGCAACCAGTGGACGAGAATGTTATACAGTTTGTGAAGTCACATTGCAAAAAGAGTGCAGTGTAATAAGCCAAAATAATGATATCATTCATAGTTTTTAATCTTGCATATGCATAGCAAAATGTACCTCCTAAAACCATAATTTCTTCATGGAAAAAGTTATGGCCTTCACATCAGTTATCCTCAGGTAGCAGTGAACTCACAGGCCCAGAAGAATCGGTAAATGATGGTACAGTCCTAACTTCTGATCTCCAAGAAGCAGTAGCTGAAATGTGTGAAAAAGGCTCATCAGGTCCAACAATTGCTGACATACGTAATTGGGTAGCTGGAGGTGAGGAGGAAAATCTTCAAATCATGACAGATGAAGAGGTAATCGACAGTGTGCTAGAAGACAACAGCGAGAATGAGCAAGAGTCAAGTACTCCACCGATTATCTGCACATGACAGAACGCCATGAATGCCTTCAATGCATGTTATAAATGGACCGAAGAAAACAGTGTGCAAGCTGAAGACATCCTCACATTGAAAAGATTGTAAGAACATTTTCTAAAAGAGGCATTTAGAAACAAAAGAAAACTATTGTTTCTTTTTTTTTTTGTAAAAATGCAGTGAAATGAAGCCCTAAATATTGAATTAATGTACAGAAATTCACAGTACACATTTATTTATGTAAAATAAATAAATAAATGATAATCAATACTGAACTTCTGTGTTATGCATTACAACTTAATAAGTTTGTTCCCCACTTTTTCAGTAATCCGGCGGTACCTTTGCCCTACGTATATTGGATTACCAAGATTATACCGTAGTATTCTTTGAGGTTTATTAAGTTTGTGTGGTTTGATGTTATTACAGCAGTAACTGTGAAGAATACAGTCTTGTGTGTTGTAAAACTATGTAGTTTGGAGAGAGCCTGGTTTTTCAAGGAAAATATTGTCTCCATTTGCAAGGTTGAAGAGTAAGTAAGCCAAGCAGGAAACCAGCAGAAGTAGGCATCAAACTTAGCTTGGCATACTGAAATTTCACAGGATCTGAACTGCATGGCATTGCAGCCTAGAAGACCATATTCTTCTATTTAGCCAAAAAATACAAATTAATGGAATTCTGCCATATCAAATTTCAGGAAAATAGATTGAAGAGCTTGCGGGATGTATATGGAAAACTGCTTTTGTGGCCTCACATAAAGTTGGCTTCATTATTGATCAGGATGTCTGAAAATTGGAATTCCCTGACAGCTTGTGATGATAGCCTCACATAATAAAAGAATCTGTGAATTGGCTTGCAGGATATATGACAGAATCCATATACGTAGGTAAGTCAATAAGTAAGTTACAAATGGCTATAGGACCTAAACATATAAGAGTACTGATTTGAAAAATGCTTTTATTTCTCAACATAATCTCCCTGTACATTGAGGCACTTGTCCCGTCATTTCATAAGCCCCTGAAAACCAGCAGCATAAAATTTTTTGGGCTGCTGTCGGAACCAGTCAGTGACTTCTCTTTACAGGGAACATTTACAAACATTTACATCCTGAGGATGTTACAGTAGGAGTTGGCATTTACATAAATGCCGACTCCTGGCGTAACATCCTCAGGAAACTTCGTAAGGCCATTCAATGCAAGTGACCAGGACTCCTCACCAAAGGCGTGTTGCTCTTGCATGACAACGCGCATCCCCATGCTGCAACAAGACAAATGAGATGCTGCGAAATTTCAAGTGGGAAGTCCTCAAGCATCCTTCGTATAGCCTTGACCTTGCCCCACACGACTTCCATTTGTTCGGCCCTCTTAAACATCATCTTTTGGCGAACATTTTCCTGACGATGAAGCTGTAGAAAGGGAAGTCACCTCCTGATTCCGACAGCAGCCCAAAGCATTTTATGCTGCTGGTTTTCAGGGGCTTGTGCATCGATGGGGCAAGTACCTCAATGTACAGGGAGATTATGTTGAGAAATAAAAGCATTTTTCAAATCAGTACTCTTATTTGTTGAAGTTCTATATCCATTTGTAACTTACTTATTGACTTACCCTCCGATGCATACGCCTCTGCAGCATGTCAGCCCCACTTATACAGGTGCGAGGCTATTCCCAGCATGCCTTGGGGCTGCCGTGTTGCAAGAGGGCGTATAGTCTTGTGTAAAGTGAACTTTCTTATGGATTTATGTGATGTAATACCATAACTGGCAGACAGGTTGTGGTGGAAGTCTCTGATTTTGAATTTCAGAAAAAAATCCGTGTAATGGTTTGTGGGATACATGGAGAAGTCTGTTATAATGATCTTACATAAATTGAGCTTTATTACACTTGCATATTCCTGAAAATCAGAATAACCTAACAACTTTTGGTGAAAATTGTATATCAGCAAAATCTGAAAGGTTGATGTGATGCATAGAAAAGTTCATCCATAGCATTATGTAAACTAGGCCTTGTGAATTACTATGGCTTAAAATCAGATTTTTTTAAGAACTTTCAATGGAAGTCTCCTATATTGAAGTTTTATAAAAGTCTACTAAACTTTATAGGATGCATGGAGAAACCCATTTATTGTCACGTGTAAATTAGGCTTTATTATGGATCAGTTTGGCTTGCAATTAGACTTGCTGTATGGTGTGTTGGGTGTTGAAGGTTTCGCATTTTGAATTCAGAAACCCATGAAATGGTTTCTGGCAAGGATTCTTTACGTGCAGCCTGCTGTAACTCTTTGTGTGGCCCCTTAAACATATCAGTAACTAGGCCCATTCCTAGGATACACCAAATCAGAGCAAATGTCCCGGATCCTGCAGTTTGATATCGTGGTGTTTGTTTAAGTTTGTGGTATCAGTCAGTTTGACTTTGTTGAGCAGTGAGTTCATTATCTGGTAGGACTGAAATGTCAACAGCAGCAGTAGGTTTGAATATGTTATGAAAGTTGTGGGACTTACATTATCACCAGATTTTCTTCCTTGTCAGAAATTGATGCTGAATATGGGCATGTCATGTAGTATACAGAAGTTTCTTTGGGATTAGAAATAGAAATTTCCATGAATGAGAAAGGCAAACTTGTGGCTGAACTTGGAGATGAAAGTGGCTTTGGGGCTTGGCATTGCTGTCTATGTATACCAATAGAGTGTATGTTGTTTTAAAGTGTTAAATAAGAAATTGTCATGGCTGGAATTTACTGCTTGAATATGTGTTTATAATAGCACGTTTGTATTTATTCTGTAGGTTCTTGTGGCCCATAAGGATGCACGCTTTTTACCACTCTGGCTGAACAGCTACAGACATTACCACCCACGAGATTGGTACTACAATGCTGGTCAGGAGCCAACACAACAAATACTGGACAAGGCACCATATCTAGTTCACAGGGTTCCAGGCCTCTTTGGTGTGCACAACCTTGCGGCTCGTCTTTATGGACCAAACCCATGGCCACAATGGCGTCTCATGTTTACTGTTCATCTGTTAAGCAGACATCCTCCTGCACCTCAGCAGCTTGATGAAAAGTCTGTTATCCATTACAGAGCACCATTTGGTGACATAGTAAGGTGGCTGTTGTATAAGCTGGAACCCAAAGTAAAATTCCTACAACATGGGGACCATTATATTTATAGTAAGAATGTAAATACCAGCATTTGTTATGTAGCAAGCAGCCGTGGAGTTGGTAAGTGATGCTAGTCATTAGGATTGACCAAAAGGTCAATAACGGAATCAGTCACATTAATTAGTACAGTATGCAGGGTGTGGCTCAGTTTGGAAGTCTGGGTTCACTCTTTCCCAAGCATGTATTTTGTGTCTGGTTTTCTCTTTGCACATCTGAGAATGTACTTGAAAATGGCCACAAGTGCTTTCTTTCACTGTGACTTTTAACACAGAGAATGGTAGTCATCACAGAATTATTCTTGGCTGAGAGTAAGTCCTTTAAAATCCTAAGGACAACCCTTAGGTCTAATTGTGGCCATTTATAAATCAGGCTAAACAGTGTGATAGATTTAATTATGCAGAATGAGTGTAAGAACAATACACATGCCACCAATTCAACAGGGCATGTCTGCTGCCCAAAATTTTCAAACCCACAGGTATGTGTGTATATTAAAAGGAAGCTTTTCACTCCAACCCCCTAATGACCAAGTGATTAGTGTACATAATAGAAACAAAAGTCTGATAATTATCAGACTTTTGTCAGACATCAAACAGATAATTATAATTATCTGTTTGATGTCATGTACAGCTGTGGTCTAAAATTTCTTTGGCCACAGAGCATCCAGGATGCTTCCATGTCATCAAATCCCTCTCATATCCAATTGTTATGCAGCCACATCTCATGACCCATCACAGTCCTCTTTAGAAACTCATCACCTTCATTATAGTAATGTATTGAGAACTGTAGGCACACCCTCATTCATGTTAACTGTTTCTACTCTTTTGACTTTTTCGGGAAGCGGGTTACTACAAATCCAAGATGCTTGTGGAGGATATGCAAAGTTGGCTTCAGTAGACCATCCTCCTGTGTGATCATTCAAATCTTCACATGCCTCTGTGCCAAGTACATTGCTTAATGTGCATAATGTGCTCCTCTGTTTTGCTCATCAGTAGTTTGCCACCTTGTGGATCATCTCCCGGTCTCTTCGCTTGCAGATTTCTTATTTTTCCTTCTACCCTGAAGATGGAGGCGATACGTTCCTTCGAAACGTCGGTTAACACCACATCTACATGGTGCCACATCCCAGAAAACTGCTTTCTTCACTGTACGTGTGGTTTGTTATGAGCACATTCATTGTTGCTGAATAAAATGTGTGGCTGAAAATAATTGTTCTTAATTTCAAGACTCTTTTGTATTAATTTGTAATAAAATTAAAATTTAATTTAATGCTCATTACTCTCATTATTCCCAGGCTGATTATTTAATATTTCTAAGGGACAAATGTGCACCACATGTTTATCTGCCTGCATTTTTAAAAATGGGTGTATAACTGACAGTGACTGGCAGCAAGTGTATCCCTCTACTCATACCTATAACCTGACAGTGACTGGCAGCAAGTGTATCCCTCTACTCATACCTATAACCTGACAGTGACTTCCCACCACCTTTCACATTCTCACATTTTAGAATTTGTTTTGTTACCCCCTTCACACACCAATTGATGATGAGCTGATCAGTCTTGATGGGTATTAGAAAAAACAATCCCCGATGGTTTAATGAACTCAGATTTTGATTATTCTGACAGTTAATGATGTCAGAGGATGATTTCACATATTTCTATCATCTTGGTATAAGAGGTGGAGAATTGTATGCATTTTGTGGATGCCAAAAATGTCTTGACTTTTCATGGCTTAATAAAAGGACACTCAGTTTTAATTGCACATAATTACTTAAAACCAGGGGCATAGGGTAGATGGATGTGGTGGAAGCATTGCTTCCCTGTAGAAAAGCAACCAAAAACATTTCTGGCAATTTTTCAATTTCGAAAAAATATTTCCTACTTCAAAATATTAATTAATCTGAAAACATATATTACATATAATGAGAATTTTGCAAGTTTTAATGTGTTACATTAACCATTTATCAGGATAGATCAGTTATTTTCTTCCAAAATGCAGGGAACTTTAAAATAAAACGCGCATGGAAGCAACAGGTTGTTCGCTTCCATGCTCATTCTGGTTCAACTGGGACTGCAGTGTTGCCATATATGAGAAGTCCATTGCTTAGCTAAATGTTACAGAATGCTTCCAGCTTCGTGCATCCAGCAATATTGCTGGCTGTAAGGCATTGCAGTATGCAGTTGGAAGTCGGTGACCCTACAGTTACACAATTTTTCCTGGTGTGCTGAGACTTCGAAAATGCTGTTAGTAAAAAAGCGTGCTTACTAGTTTTCAGAAGAAGGTGTTAGCATGTTACTTATGCACAAGTCAGTTTATTTACTATTCTGTATTTTCTCGATACAGAATTTGTTTTGCTTTGTGTAATTATAACTTTGTGACAATGTTTTTGTAATTGCTGTTAAGTTACAAATTGAAACATGACACTTTCATGTGATAACCACTGTGTGATTGAAAAACTTCTTCAAACGCCGTTCAGTTCACTCAGTTATAATGAGAAACTTAAGATAATAGAAGAAGGTGCACCTAAGCCTAATCTAACTTTACATACAAAAATGAAATCTTGCAAACGGCATTTCAATACCAGTTTATATGAGGCTATTCCATGGTTGTGTGGGTGTGATAAACTAAAAAAATTATTCTGTTGGCCTTGTCTCTTGTTTTCTAAAGAAAAACATGTGTTTGACAGTGCTGGTTACAATGACATTAACAACATTTACAAATCTGGCAAAAGACATGGGCATTCAGTTAATCACATTGCTTGTCTTAAAGAAATTACACTGTTTGGTAAAAACAGAAGGATTGAATTTTCTCTAAGCAGCCAATACAAACAGTCAATTGAAAAACACAATGAAGCTGTGAAACAGAACAGGAAATTTGTAGGCCAATTAATTACAGCAGTTTGTTTTCTGGGCTCTCAGGGTTTAGCATTTCGGGGACATGATGAAAGCGTGGCATCTGTTAATAGAGGAAATTACATTGAGGTTTTAAATATGCTGGCACGTTATGATTCTGATTTACACAATCATTTAGAGTCTTCAACTGCTTTCCGTGGTTCTTCTCCTGACATCCAAAATGAACTGATACATTCTATATCTGAATTGACGACAATGGAAATTAAAAAGGAAATTTCAAAGGCTAATTATGTCTCTTTAATTCTTGATGAGACTTCAGATGTGATGAATAAGTGTCAGTTGGCTTCAGTTCTTCGATATGTGACAGCTGATGGCAATGTTGAAGAAAGGTTTCTGCGTTTTACAGACGTGAGCTCTGACCGTTCTGCCAATTCCTTGTTTAACCATGCTCTTGAGATTTTAAATGATTTTGAATGTGGTCCCAAACTCATTGCACAGACTTATGATGGTGCTGCTGTTATGGCATCACAACATGCAGGAGTACAAGCAAAAATTCGTGCGTAGTACCCAAACGCCATTTTTTGTTCATTCTTATGCGGATAGACTAAATTTAGTCGTAGCACAATCTGCTAGTTTTATTAAGGAAGTTAAGGTCTTCTTTGCTACTCTCTCTGGCTTTAGAACTTTTTTTGCCAAGTCCACAAAAAGGACTGAAGCATTGGATTCCCACCTTAGGAAAAGATTTCCTTCTATCGCACCTACTCGATGGCAGTACCATAGCCGACTTGCTGAAACTGTGCATGAATACAGAGAAGGAATTGAGAATCTTCTTGTGTCTATAATAGAGGAACCAGAAGAATGGGATGTAGAAACAATTTCTTCTGCACGCGGACTTCTCTCTCTTCTAAGGGATTTCAATTTCAATTTCATGCTGAAAATATTTTCTTAAATTTTTCCATATTCTGGCCCTCTTTTCAAAATCCTACAAACTAAGAGATCTGATATAGCTTTTTGCAATACCAAAATAGACGAATTTAAGCATCACATGCAAAGATTAAGGGGAGGATTTGACCACCTTTGGAGTGAAATGGAAAATGTCTTCGATTCAAATGGCCCAACTCGACCCAAAAGAATTCGCATTGACTCAATGAGTGGAGAAGAAAGAAAAAACTCCTATAAACGGCTGTTCTGTGAAATTATTGATGTCGTGTGTCAGAATGTCTCTGTTAGATTTTCGGAGAACGCTACGCTCCTCTTCTTGAGTCTTCTTGATGCCAGATACTTCCCCATGTATAGAACCTCATTTCCTGAAAAAGCATTTTCCTGTTTAAAAGAAAATTATGGTGCATTTTTTGACTTTGTTGCCTTAAAGAGTGAACTTTTAGTAATGTTTTCGGACCCAGATATGGCAAAAGATAGTGTGTATGACTTACATCAATATATGTATGCTCTTCAGTTATCATGCGTTTTCCCGCAAATCTTCAAATTATGTGAGCTAGTATTAACAATACCAGCGACAAGCGCTGCAGATGAATACTCATTTTCAGCCCTGAAGAGATTAAAAAACTACTTAAGAAATTCGCAGAACCAGGATAGGTTGTCATCACTGGCTTTGATGAACATTGAAAAGTCCTTCCTAAACAAACTGCAGTCCAAACCCAGCTTTCTAGATGAGGTTATTGATCTGTTTGCCAAGAAAAACAGAAGAATCGAGCTGAATTATAAACAATAAAGTAAGCATTAATTATATTCCAGGTTCACAACCCTGTCATTTGATGGCTATAAAACTGTGTTGATAATTAGGTGTTATTTTAATATATTAGCTTAAGTATACAATACATATTAAACTATTAGCTGTTTTCTTTTAAACAGAAGATAGAAACTATAGGGTATCTAGAAAAATGTTATATACACGTATATAAAGTTGCTTCCCTGCTTTTGGTAGTCATGCTACGCCACTGCTTAAAACATCACTGCTCTTCAGGATCATATTGTGGTTGGTGCTGGATAAATGTAGTGGTGTGCACCTTTGGTTCCCATTTATCTGTTCCTTTTCCTATTCGTTTTTCTGTGGCACACTATTTCATTTTAGCATGGGCTTAGGGGATGTGGCCCAGGTACAGGCTGAATTCATTTACTGTATAAGTCAGGTTCAGGTTACCACACAGATGTGTCCATTTGAGTTTAGAATTATACTATGTAACCAACTTTTGAGTGCTGGCCAACTTTTATGGATTTTCTGGTGATAATCAGTGAAGACTTCCAAAGCTCCTTCTTGAATCTGTCAAATGGGTTGGATTTATGTTGTCAGACTTAGTCGGTGCCATAGGGGGACTGATCTGGTATACAGATGGTTCCAAGACAAATAAGGACACTGGAGCTGGTGTGTACTGCTATGGCACGAGGCAGAAACTTGGTTTCAGCCTTGGGCGGTACACGACAGTATTCCAGGCAGAAGTATATGCCATTAAAGCGTGCATTATGGAGAATTTAGATAGGAACTACAGAAATAGGAACATCTACATTCTATCTGACAGCCAAGCTGCACTTAAAGCGCTTGACAAACACCAGATTAATTCAAAATTGGTCTGGGATTGCCACCAAACCCTCATGGAACTGGCCAAACATAACAGGGTACAACTGATATGGGTGCCAGGGCATGAGGGTATTGCTGGAAACGAAACAGCAGACCAGTTAGCTAAAATTGAAGCCGAACATCCATCATAGGACCTGAACCAGCCTGTGGCATCTCTCTAGGAGTTGCCAAACAGGCAATCAGGGACTGGACTAACATAAAACACAAGGAATACTGGGAATCCTTAACTGGACTCAGGCAAGCAAAGGGACTCATATGAGGACCTTCTGCTAAAAGAGCAAAGGAACTGTTGAAGCTCAACAGGAACCAGCTACGATGGGTCTTAGGACTACTTACAGGACACTGTCACCTCAAAGGACACCTGTTCAAACTGGGACTGAGTGATAGTCCCACCTGAGAGAGGTGTCAGAAGATGAAACAGCCACACACGTCCTGTGTGAATGTGAGGCATTAGCTTATTTAAGATTACGTCACTTGGGCCAGCACTTCATGGAACCAAGTGACTATTTTGACGCCCCCATGTCCAAGATCCTGCGCTTCATCCGAAGCGTGGAGTTGCTGAGGGAATAATTAAAAAAGGGGGGGGGGAAGCACAATAGACCTAAGGTCACGGTGCAAGGGCCGAGAAGGCCTACCCCTCATCTATTCTGTTCTAGTCGGTGCCATTGAGAGCCAGCAGGAGATGAAGTGAGTGCAGAAGCTGAAGAATCTCCACTGGTAGAAGCCATTACTGGGGAACAACTGGTGAAGCAACAGCAGGCTGAAAATCCTTAGTGTATGCTTTAGTGATTCATAAAATGTGGAGATTAGTGATGGTGCTATAATTAAGTGTAGTCACAAATTGTGTGTTAAAGTGGTCAGGGGATCCACTCGCCAATCCAAACCCCATCCACACTCATCATGGAATAAAAGATAACAATATATTACTCAGCGCATTTTAAGTGACACTGATTTTAATAATTATGGACCCAGTTTCTCTTTATAATACACCCTTTTATCCTTCCTCAAAAATAAGAATATGACCCTCAAACCAATCATATTTTCTGTACTAAAGGAACTGTTATTTTGTCTGATTTGAGTAAGGTCCTGGAGGTTTGAAATTGGTATGTCTGTCTTCAGAATTTTTATTTTCACTAAGTTTGTTATGCCCCAACCATGTATTGCTTATACCAAAATTCCCATTTGATAAAGTATATTGCAGAGGCTGGGAGATGTAGATTGTGTCGTTACAAAGGTTTTGCATGTCATATCCATCAAATCATAAAACACAGTGGCAATGATTATTGTATACAGATGGTTGATATTTGCTTCTCCATAATGTTTCATAGTTCTTTAATGAAAATAAGTATAAGTATTAATGAAATGAGGCAAAGAAAGAACGTAATGTTGCAGCAGTGATAGAATTTCATGTCGTCCCTCTTAACCATTCAACACCCGATTTCATCTTGGATTTATAAAATACCCCCCCCCCACACACACACACACACACACACACAATTGAAATCTCGTATAGTTTAGTCTTGTAAAACTTCCATGGAAATACCATAAAAACTTCATCTCACAATTTTTTTTTCACATTCATTTAATATCCAAGTCATGTGCACCTAAGTAAATATTTTTTAAACCCATCACTCTCAAAGAACGGCGAACAAAAAATGTGGCACTGTAAACCGCCGTAAATTGTAGGGTCTTTGTTCAGGACTGGTTTGACCACTTATGCCGCCCTGTACAAAAGTCGACTGTGCTTCCCTATCCTCCTCCTGTACACACACATGCTGGCTCGCTACTGTTACAGATGCCTCCGAGATGGTTAATAAATTTGTTCTGTATTTTTTTCGCCGATTATAAACTGTATGCTTCGGGCACATTTCAAAATAGTCGCAGTGTTCGCTGGTTGCTGAATTTGTTGACAGAATTCGCATGTTATCCATATAAGTAAAAAGTAAGTAAAGGTATCCCTGTAACAGGCCGTGGAGGCCCATAGGGTTGTGAGACGTTGAGGTTCCCACATTTTCTAGACAGTCTGCTCATAGATGGCGGTAAGATTTTCAGCCTTACGCGCCGGCCGCCCTTTACCCCCAAGAATATTCCGGGTTCTCATTTCGGTTAGAGGCTTAGTCGACCCCAGGGCCATATTGCGGCTGGAAGGATTAGGTAAACTGAGAAGAAAAAAAGAAAAAAAAGATCCATCCCACGTCAATTATATATACGTTACACGATATGAACTCATAGAGCTGTTCCTGTATGTCTGAATGTTTGAAGTTGAGAGCCCCTGGATGAATTCTGATGAACTTTGATACGGACAGTTCCATTGGAGGCAGCCCTGAACTTGTTCTTTTTAATTTTCTGCAGTTAGTAATAAGACGATGGGCGCATGAACTAATAATATGAAAGTGGCACATAATATAGGGCCATAACATTTTGACTGTAACAGGTCTTTAAAAATGTTAGACTTTTGTTGCCGTTTTGTGTGTTTTGAGAATATAATACAAAATTGAGACTCCATGAAATCCATATTTAATGTACGGTTTTATAGCGATAAGTAATGAACCATTGGAGTTAGGCATGTTAAATTTGGTATAAGGATAAATTATGCACGTGGCCACATATTCTATATGAATAGTTGAATAATTAAGAGCGAGGCGGCAGTGCGAATCGTCGGTGTTATAATTGTGACAGCCAGGATCATGAATGCAAAGGCTCAAAAAACCCTTGTTGAAAGTAAGTATTCTGCTACCGATTACACCTTCCCAGCCATGTTTATAACAGCGTCGCCGTCTTGTACGTTCCATTGCCTAATAAAAGAAGTCGTAATATGCCGGATTTAAAATTTTCGACTACCTTTTTTCCCGCCCTGTGCAAGTACACATGTTGCACTTTCGGCCGGGTCGGAGCGGCCTTGGGGTAATAGCCATGGATCAAGGCAAGCGTTGAGAGAGGCTAGGGTGTTATCTGCGAGATGTAAGCTCTTTGCTTCACGTCCGCTAGTCAGGTGCAATAGAAGTCATGCAGCAGGTGAAAACCGTCGCCAATCGTTACTTCGCTGATGGAAGGCTGTGTGTGGCATTGTGATATTGTGAAGCCGAATTCCTTGTGATATAGTGACTGTTACTTTGACAACATAAATTAATTACGAAGTGCACTTATTTCGCGATGGCACGAGTGGTTCCTGTGAATGTCATGTCTGGAATAATGAGAAGGTAAGCAACGGTATGAATCACCTTCCTGTTGTGGTAATATGCACCTATATGAACATATTCATACTGTGTCTCATAATTTATGTGTAATCTTCTGAGATTTTGTTATACAGTGATTTATGAGTTTATTGCAGTACCCTCCAGCTTTGTTCTTTACAGGTATAATTAAAAGTGAAATGTGTCCTATGGATCGATAAAATTTTGTAATAAATGGCTAATTTAAAGTTTAAGCTACCCATTTCGAAATGAACGGAATTGTTATACGTTAAAGGAACGGCAAAATAATTCGTGAAACTTGTCGTGGATTAACGACAATTGATTTTGAAAGTAACCGTTTTGAGTGCATTATGTTACTCTAACCAATGCCAATGGGTACATGGGCCTTATTATGTTACTGCTCTTAAGGCTACAATAAATTGCTTAGTGCATTTTAAGGCCTGACGGGAAATTTGACTACAGTGAGACTTGTTGCTATATAAACATTTTAAAATTGTATTTTTATGTAAACATTGAAATGTTTTTGTTTTGCATCTCAGCTAGTGAATACAGGATAGGTGCTGCTTAATACATATTATTTCTTCTTAAACAGTGCTCTTCTTCATTAATTAAACTGGATTTTAAGTTTTAATATGTCATCGTGTTTGTGTTGTATTTTGTCCCAACATTTATTACTAAACGGTGGATATTGAACAGTGATTACTAAATAACTTGGTGGAGTAACCAGAAATATGCAGTGAGGGGAGTAGTTCAGTAGTTGTATTTTGTCCCAACATTTATTACTAAACGGTGGATATTGAACAGTGATTACTAAATAACTTGGTGGAGTAACCAGAAATATGCAGTGAGGGGAGTAGTTCAGCAGGGGACGTTACGTAAGTGCACCGAATCGTGACAAAAATTTCATTCGAAATTATTGCGTTGCTAGAAGAATGTAAATAAAGCTGACACTTGAATACTAGGAAATAAAAATTATTGCGTTATAGACCATAATCAGGAATTTTTTTAAGAAACCACAAGAGATTCGTAGTAAATGAAAAATTGCGTGGGTGTTGCAGCGCCGCCTAATCCCGACGGCGTTGTAGTGTACAACTCTAACCGGTCGATAATCGTATTCTGACAGCAAGTAGTATTATGCCAACACTACAGACTGAGCGACCCCGGCAGAGAGGGAGACCCCACGCCGCATTATAATCATAATAAAGAGCATAAATTCATCTGACGTCCAATTATATTATGTATCACGAACTCACAATTGACGTCTTGTGCAATGCTTCTCTCATAAAATATATATTAGATGGAAGATTAGAATTTCTAAGGGCTGCGCCACAGCTCAAGCGGTTAGTCGCAGGCTTCCGACCGCGGCGGCTTGGGTTCGATCCCGGGTCTGGTCCAGTGGGATTTGTGGTTGACAAAGTGGCGCTGGGGCGGGCTTTCTCCGAGTACTTCGGTTTCTCCTGCCAATCTTCATTCCACCAAATTCTCCATCATCATAATCACCCGGGACAGGTATAATAGGCGAATCAAAGGCCGCCGTGCCGAGTGGACCCAACTGGACTCCACCCCCCACTAAGCGAAGATTAGAATTTTAATTGTTATATGATATTGTGTAATGCCCAGCCAGTCTTGATTGAGGTCGCTTAGGCATGATATTGGTGGTTCATGAAGTTATGGGTTCGAGTCTCGAACAGAATGTATTGTTTTATCGCTCCATTTCCCTTCTGTTAAATGAGACAGTTGAAATCCACAACATCTGAAAACTAGAAAATCTCACATCAGCTGATCAGTTTTTTGTCTGTATTAGCCCTTATCACTTGCTTTCGGAGCTGCATCCAATTCTAGCCATTTACCCAGCCGGAATGCCCGATTGAAGGTTGTTTCGACATAGTGAAAATCGTGGCGTTCTTGAAAGTTAAAATTGAAATTGTAGATTGACATATACTTAGAAATATAACCAGATAAGGTAGGATAAATGGAACACAATTTTGGTTAAATCTATGTATTTTTTTTTTCAAAGAAATATGAAATATTGCACAGCGCAAAAATGTTGAAAGGAGGCGTTATTGAAATTGTTCTCTGGAAGGGAGTTCGCGAAGAATTGATAATATTCTGCTGACTTTCATTGAAGAGAAGGCGACGCGATTACCAAGGCCTGTCTGCATTCACTGCGCAATCTGAAACATGAGTATGATTTTCCGACGGCAGTCAACGTACACTGAAGCTCATTTTATCCCCATATCAAGCAGTTCTACCCATATTTACTTCGTCTTCTCTTCGTTTAAGGATATCAGGAGACGATAAGTGCTGGTAAACGGCAGTAAGCTTCTGTAGATTATCTTCGAGAAGACATTAAAATGAGATGTGAAGTTCAGTCTCCGGATGCTTCTTCACGTAGGTCAGAGGAAATGACTGGAGGAAATACAGCACGCAAGTTTCGACCGCGTTAGCGAGAATGTGCTGACGGCGAGAACAGTCCAGCAGGCATGGTGCAACGATAGGAGTGTCGTCACAGCTGGGACCAAAGAAGAAAGATACATCACGGTTTAAGTCAGTCATTCACGGCTGTTGAAGATCAGGTTCGGAAAACTGACCACGGCAGAAATCTGTTACCAGATGGCCAGAACGACACTGGTACACGGTCTATGAGTGGAGGTCGAAGAGGAGATGGAAACCGTTAGTATAATTTGATAAGCAGGTTGGCGAAAGAGGAAAACTTCCATGTGCCATACGAAGATGTCAGGGTGCCGAGGGGTGCTAGGGACGTTTCATGGCAAAGGAGAAACTAGAAACGGAAGGGGCCGTAGATTCAATGAAAGGAGAAAATTTGTTTGGATTAGCTTCTGTCGCACGGCATATTTGTCGTTACAGATGGGTTTGAAAAGTGTGGCACAAGGGAGTTTGTCTGAGTGCCTGCCGCAAATTCCTTGGTCGTAGATGCGGAAGATCCACGCCCTGCTAGCGTCAACAAGGTCGGCGCGCATTCTGACTCGTGTCGCGGTTGACAAAGCGATAGGGTATACACGTTCATTTTCTCTTCAGTACCGTCACACTAAATACCTGAACAGCTACTGCGAAGTTAGTTCATGCGTTATACGAGTATCTCGGCCGGCCGACCGTAGTACCCTTAAATATTCTGCTAGTGTCGGAAGTATGGGTTACGTTGTGTATCAGTGTGTTCTTGTGCGGTAGCTGTGTGAAAGGTGGTTGTGTAAGGAAAGCAAAGAGAAGATTCCAACGTACATTTCGGGATGTTGCAGTTCTCTAGAGAAATACTGTTCATAAAACCGTAAATAAATTAAGAGATTCAGGGTAATTGATTGACCGCCTCTGTGGCCTAGTGGTTAGAGTTCTTGCCTACAGATCCAGAGATCCGGGTTCGATTCTCGGTGCTACAAGATTATCTGAGAAGTAGTGGGTCTGGAATGGGGTCCACTGAGCCTCGTGAGGATAATTGATTTCAAGGAAATAGAGGCTCCGGTCTAGAAAACCGAATTTAACGGCTTGGGATTCGTTGCGTTGACCACGCGGCACCCTCTATCCGCTAAAGTTGGCACTAACTTCGCCGATAAGCGGCGGTAGCTCGGTCGGTCGGTATACACGTAGTTCGCTTGCGGACTCGAGCCACGGATTTTTTTTTGTTCAGGGTATCTTTGGGACAAACAAGAAGTGAATCGAAACGCCGAGTAGCTCGTAGTGGTTTGTGACCAGCAGGCTCTGCAGATTTCGACCTGTATGGCCAGTGTTATGGGGAGTCGTGAGGCAAAAAGTTACAGACCAAATCTTCACAAAGTTGAAGAACTGAAGGCAAATGTCCGAAAAAAATTATACAATATTTTCCAGCGCGGGAATGTAAACTTGTGATGGAGGAGAAAGTTATGCCTGCGTTATGGCGTTTGCAATTTTGGGAAGTTCTCTTTGTAAAGTAGAACGGCTATTGGTTTGTTGACAGCACCACAAATTCAAATCTGCGCCCAATGAGCATACTTGAATAGCGCGTAATTACTTCCCCCGGGCTGCCGAAGGATTTGTGACAGACTCTCAGTTAACCACCCTCGATTAGTGAGTGTGTAAATTAGGTTAAATGAAGGGGGGGATAGGGTTGCTAAATATGTGAGAAATATCCAGGGAGAAAGGTATAACGGAAAACTGTACTAGTACAAACCCATTCTCGACTCTATGATGGCGAATACCGTTAGTGGTTGTGTTTCATGCAATGACATTTCGCATATGTATTGATGTTAGTTCCGTAAGAATACAGAGGGGTCCAAAAAAATGTACTCACTCTTTGATAGTCAATATTTTTGGAACAAAATGACATGTAGTTACAATCCTTGCGCGGAGAGAGAGAGAGAGTCATTGTATATGTTCGAAGTGACTACCATCAGCGGCTCAACAGCGTCGATGCCGCCGAACTACTGAGCGAACTACGGCTGTCAGTGTATCCGGTGTGATGGCCGCACACGACGCTTCGATGGTCTCTCGTAGCGCGTTTAGTTTAGCTGCCTTTTGTCGATAAACTTCATCCTTCAAGGTTCTCCATAGGTAGAAGTCGAGAGGTGTTAGGTCTGGAGACCGTTGTGGGTACTTAGTAGCACTTCTTCGACCTATCCATCGTCCAGGTAGAGTGTCATCCAAGTACGCCCTGACATCTCGATGGTAGTGAGGTGTAGCACCATCTTGTAGGTAAAATCTCTCATCTCCAAACAGCTCTCGAATGGCAGGGAAAATCGATGTCTGGAGCATATCGAGATACACCTGACCAGTTACGGTACATTTTTTGGACCCCCTGTATTTATACTCAGGTGCTATAAAATAGCCCCCAGAGCTGTTCAAGAACAGAAAACGGAAAGGCATGTGCCTAAACACTAAGTCAGGTTGTGTTACAGCTTGGGAGCCTTTTTACCTGGTTAGCAAAAAGTTCACTAAGACGATGAAAAAATCGCCGTGTCCTTGGTAATACAACAGAAATAACATAATACATATGAAACGCCGTATTCGTGCAACCATGCAGTCGAT